ACCCATGGGTCCATCCATCCATCATCCATCCATAATCCATTTGCCTATCCATCCATCATCCATCATCCATCATCCATCCATCCATCCATCCATCCCTCCATTCATCCATCCCTCCATCCACCCTTCTATCCACCCATCCACTCATCTATCCATGGGTCCATCCATCCATCCATCATCCATCCATCCTTCTATCCACCCTTCCACTCACCTACCCATGGGTCCATCCATCCATCCATCCATCCACCCTTCCACCCATCACTGCTCCTTGTCTGATTCCTGCTCTGTGGAGCCCCTACTGAGTGCTATGGACACAGGGGTAGCCAGTCTGGTCTTTGACTTTGGGGAATTCACAGTGGGATGGGAGAGACGGAAGCAGATAGGGACAACCTCAACGCTAGGTAATGAGTGCTGTGATGAGGGTGTCCAGCAAGGCTGGGATGTGGCTTCTTGGACTTTCTGGTGGGGTGGAGGATATGCCTTGGGGGTTTGAGTGGGAGGCAAAGCAGGAGAGGCTGTGGGGCCAGGCTTGCTTTTCCATATGAATTTAGGGATCGACTTCTGCAAAACAGGCAGCTAGGATTTTGGTGGGGTGGAGGGCCTTCACGTGGAGGGCAATGGGGAGTCATGGGAGAGTCTTGAGCAGGTCAGTGACAGGGTCAGACTCGGGTTTCCCTTAGACTGACCTCAGTGTGGAGAATGGATTTGCAGGGGTGGGTCAGGTTCAAGGAGATGCAAAGAGAGGAAGTAGGAATTGGGGGTGGCTGAGGGACAGGGAGCCATGGGGTTGGGGTGGGCAGAAAAGTCAGGGCCTGGGGCTGCTTAGCTGTGTCCAGAAGGAGGGGGTCACCTCTTCCGCATACCCAGCCCCCACTTCCTAGCCCTGCCTCTCCTTTCCTGAACCTCCCCCCTTTCCATGAGGGCCTCCGATGGGCATTTTCCCAGTCCCTTGGAGCCTAGCTTCAAGCAGACACACCCACTAGAGCTGGAAGGGCCTTGTGCATCTATGCAGGCATGAGCTCCACTCTGCAGATGGGAACACTGAGGCCTCGTACAGTTACCTCCCCCACCCCCTGTGAGTTCTGCTCTTGGGACCTCAGCTTGACCTTTGCCGGTCGGTCCCTGTGCCTTCCCCCTAGGACCTGAGACCAAACTGCCCGCAAGCACACGGCTCATCGGACGGAGAGCTGAGACATTATTGTGACTTGGGCATTCCAGAAATTTCTTGTCCAGGGAAATAAAGTTGCAAAGCACTTTATTGTTTCAGAAGCTTCCAGAAAATCCATTTATCTGAGCAACTGCTCACTCAGGTGAGCAAACTCCTCGGCACGAAATGACCATTGGTTGGCTCACCACCAGGTGCTTGGATACCCAGCCCTTTGCTGTGCCCACCAACACCATTCTGCTGTATCAGGAGTAGGCTGATACCCGTGCCCGCCAGTCTCCACTCGGGCAGACCCCAACCTCGCAAAGACCCCCCCCGGCGCCCAGCCCTGTAATCTCTGCTTGATTACACTTCTTAACCTCATGCCTAAACAAATATTTTAAAGCAATAGACTTTACTCTTTAGAGCAGTTTCGCGTCCACAGCCAAACTGAGTTAGAAAGTACAGAGATTTCCCACATACCTGCGGCCACCATGCACGGCCTTCCCCGTTGTCCACACCCCCCACCACAGTGGGACATCTGTTCCAATTTTGTGAGCCTGCGTGGACACATTGTCACATAGACTCCACAGTCGACGTTAGACTCCCTTCTCGGTGTTGCACATCCTACGGGTCTGGACAAATAAATGTACAGGGACACGTACCCACTGTTGGGAGTGTCCCCACTGCCCTAAAACTCCTCCCTCCTCCCCTCCCCCGGTAACCACGGGTCTCCTTACTGTCTCCCTAGTTCTGCCTTCTCCAGATGTCATAGGGTTGCACTCATGCAGCTTGTGGCCTTTTCACATCGTGCGTTTCAGGTCCCTCCGTGGCCTTTCGTGGCTTGGTAGCTCACGTCTCTTGTTGCCAAATAGTTGTCCGGATGCAACGGTTCATTTGCCCGTCAATCTGCGGAGGGATGTCAAGGCGACCTCCGGCTGGTCGGCCCTTTACTGTGGCCGATCACGGAGGTGAGCTTTCTCCTCTGCGAGGCCCTGGACAGGAGATGAATGGTCTCTGTGGCCCTGGGCCAGTCGGGAAGTGACACGGAAGTGACGAGAGAATGAGCCCCGGGTTGGGCTTCCTGGGTGGTCCCGAAAATCCTCAGCAGGACTGGGGAGCCCAAAGCAGGGGTCACGGTGGGGCTGCCCCTGAAGGCTGTTGAGGGCAGGCGGGTTGTAGTGCTGTGCTCAGGGACTTCCTTACCTCCCCCTCACCTCCACGCCCTTGCCCTGGGGGGCATTAACTTGGGCGCCTCTGGGAGCAGAGAAGATGCTAATCATCGCCCTGTCCCCCAACAGGCTGCTGCATAGCCAGACGCAGCCTAGGTGCTCAGCGGGGCCGGGGTCTGGGGGGCTGGTTTCCGAGGCCAAGCCTCTGCGAAACGCCGTGTAAACATTATCTTGTTTGAGCCAAGAGGTGGGAACCTCCCCACTGTCCGACAGGCTGAACGGAGGCGCAAGCAGGTGGATGGGGTTGTTCGGTCTCAGCGCAGAAAGGGGGCCAGGCCGCGATTAGAATCTGGGTCTGAAGGCAAAAGGCCCCTCTGAAGCACCTTTCCCTCTGCCCGCCGCCCCTCCTTACCTCATTCGCCACCTGCACGTTGAAGAGGTGGGACCAGAGATCCATTGCCGCTTCTGAAGACCACCCCCCAGCTCCCGGGCACCAGTGGGCTTCCCTGGGAGCCCACTCAGCCTATACTGGCTCTAGCCCTTCTACACAGCGTAGGCTCCTGGTGGAAAAGAGGATTGGAAGCTGAGTTTGCAAGCCCTGGACAGAGGGTGAGGACGGTCCGCTTGGGGGAAGGACCCAAGCGATGCTGGGGTCCAATGCCCGACAGCCTCTGGAGGGCAACTTGAGGAGGGGTCGTCTGGCCGTGGCTTGGGGGACTCTGGGAGGAGTTTTGGCTCTTGGAGGCCCAGCTGGGGGCCCGGGGGCCCTGCCACTCACCAGCTGCCATGACCTCGTTCCCTTCCCCTGCGTTCCTCATCCACAGCGCGAACAGCTGCTTGGAGAGTGGTGCCGGGAGGGTGGCATGGCCGTCTCTGCCCTGGCGCCCCGTCCCCACCCACCCGATGTCCCAGTTATCCATCTACATTGCTGGGCCCCGCCCTTCGGCCTCCCCAGGTTGGTGTGCCGCCTTCTCCCCATCGGCCACCAGATGGCAGCCGAGCTCCACAGATCCCACGGCCGCGCTTCCGGCCTCGGGGACTGGAGGGCTGACCACCCATCCCGGGGGGCTCCTCAGGACCGGGGCCTGGGCGTAGGGCCCTTCGGGGCCGGAGCTAGAGCACCCACACCTGCACCATCTCAGGGTCCCGGACAGTTCACCGGTCAGTGCATCAGTAAAGCCTTCCTGCTGTGTGCCTGCCTGGCTTTGCACGGGGAGCCGGAATGCCATGGCACTGGGACGCCAGCTCAGATCCCAATGGGACAGAGGCCTGCGGGGTGAGCGAGCCTAGAGGAGGCGTCTAGCTCAGGCTGGCAGCCAGGGAAGGCGTCCAGGCGCTCTGACGTTGTCCTGGAGCTCAGGCACATGGAGGGGGACCAGCGGGGACAGCTGCCCCTGTGGGGACCACGGGCATTACAGGGCCAGGCCCAGCTCACCCAGCAGCCCCAGGGGGAGGGCGGCATCCACCAGCTCAAGGGCAGGACGCGACTCCCAAGGCCCAGTGCAAAGTGAAAGTGAGGGGCCCTTGCTCAAAACGGTTACATTTAAAGTTGGTGACAGCACAGCGCGAGAGCAAGCTCTGGGCTTTAGGAGCGTGGGGCCCCGCCCCCAGAGTCCCAGGCCGGGTTCGGACCCAGTAGCTGTGTGGCCTCGGGCTGCTGTCCCCGGGGCGGGGGCCCTGGTCTCCCTGCAGGAGTGGGAAGGACTCCAGGCAGGACACAAGGCTGGCCAGATGCCCGCAGGCAGATGTTAGACAAACAACAGCAGGGAGAAACCGTGCGGCCTTCCTCAAACAGACGCTAACGACTTCCTCCCTTCACGCCGAGAACGCTGCCGGCCCGGAACCCCCGCCAACAGATTTCCCGGCTGGGCTGCGGGGGCCCGAGTGTCGGGCCCGTCCCGCCTACGGGCTCTGCTGCGCCCCGGTTCCCGCCCGGGCTGCCTTGTGAAGGTCACTGCGGCCAGCAGGGGGCGCCGCAGCCCCATTCGCGATGCCGGGAGCCCGGGCACCAGGCTCCAGGTGGCAGCCGCCCGCCGGCGCTAAGGGGGTCTGGGGACGGCGGCGCCTTCAGGGCCCCCACATCCCGCTGGGGCCCCTGCTCTCCCTGCGCCCCCCACTCTCTCTGCAGTTTCCCTGGGTGGGACAGGCCTGAAAGGGCCCTGGGAGGCATGGAGCCCTGCTCATTTGTGGGTTCCCAGGGCCGGCCTTCTGGGCGACGCCTGGAGTCGAGCTGGGGTGCCGTCGGGCGTGAGCCCTGGTGGGGGCTGTGTGGGAGGGGTCTGGCGGTGGGGGCGATCATTCCAGAGCGGTGCCGGGCCCTCCTGTCCCACTCCCGGGCTTGTTTCGCACACCCTCCTGCCGTCCTGCACCCACCGGCCACCTTCCCACCCTCCCCGGGGGCGCAGCGTGGGCAGGAGCCGGGCTCGGACGGCACAGAGGCCCTACCATCACCCAGGCTCCGCCTGTCAGTGTCCCGGGGCTGCCGCGACCGATTGCCCCACACCGGGAGGTTTCAAACGATAGAAATTCTTTCTCTCACACCCGGGAGGCCCGAAGTCCAGGATCAGGGGGTGGGCAGGGCCACGCTGTCCCTTGAGACTCTAGGCGTGGCTCCTTCCTGTCCCCTCCAGCTCTGGGTGGCTCGGGCGATCCGGGCTTTCCTCCCGCGTCTCGGGTGTCTGCTCCCATCTGCACGCGGCCTCTGCTCTGGGTCTCCGCCTCTTACTTACAAGGACACTTGTCAAGGGATTTAGGCCCCACCAGATAACCCAGCATGCAACACGCTTTCTCCAAATAAAGGCTCGTTCACAGGCTCTGGGGTTTAGGATTTGGACACTCAAACCCCTGCAGTGAGGACAGAGCTGGCCTGAGGACCCAGGAACCCGGCCCAGCGTCCGGCCCGTGCTCCTCCTGGTGAGGCCCCGCCTGGCCTGAGGTGTGGGGCCTCTGTCCCGACTGACCTATTTCTCTTTCAGTGTTTCTCATCCCCAACGGCGAGGGCAGCTCCCCCCTCCCCCGACCCCGAGCCCCTTCTCTGGAGTCCCCTCCCCACCCCGAGGGTCTGCGAGTGGCCTCAGGTCCCCCACCAGCCAGGGCTGGCACAGAGGCCTGTTTAGGGAATCCGCATTTGGGATATTACCACCCTCCTTCTCTTTGGCCCCTGGTTGTTGCTAACACACCGCCTCCTCCTGGAAGCCCTCCTAGCCTCCCCTTCTCCACCCTGAGCACTCCAGGCTGTGGGTCTCGGATCGGGCGCCCCCCCCCCTCCCCGGGCAGGAGTGGGTCCGGCTCCGGTGCCCCTGGCCCTGGGGAGACGCTCAGAGGGTGAGGAAGGCGTGAGGGGCCAACCACGGCCGGCGGAGGTATGCCCACTGCCTGCCCCCTGGCTTCTCCTTCAGGAGGCTTGTTCCCTGCCAGTCTGAAGCCCCATTTTGCGGCGGGGACGGGGAGAGGGTGGGCAGCGATGTGGGCAGCCCCCTCACCCTGGGGGGGTGGGTGGGGAGGAAAGGCCTCTGTGGCCTGGAACAGGAAGGTTCCCTCCTGAACGATTCCTCGGATCAAATGGGGAGCTGCAGGCCCGACCGGAGACTCAGGGGCTGGGGCGGGGGGGGGAGAGACGACTCCCTAGGGAGCCTGTGAGTGGGGTTCACATGTCTCTCTGGTCCTGCCCGTGTGTGTGTTGGGGGGGATAAGAAGGAGCGGTGGCCTTCACTCAAGGTGGGGCTCAAGGCCCACCTCCAAGTGCACTTCTGAGCTGTCCTGGTTCGGGGTGGGGGGGCCTTCTCGCCGTGGGGGCAGCACAGGCCGAGGGCGTCCCATCCAGACCTGCCCCCCCACGCCCAGAGGGTGGGGGGCACGGCTTCTCCCAGGAGGAGATCGGGCCTTGCCCTCCAAGAGCCTGACCCTCTCTGGGCCTGGAAAGCTGCCTCCCGGCCAAAGGCTCCGTAGGACAGGCCCACACTACGGTGTGGGTCCTGGGCACGGGCCTGGGCACCAACCAGACGTCCCTAGGAGAGTCCCAGGCTGCAGGCACACTCAGCCCAGAGGGATCTGGCACGCCAGGGGCCTCAGTGGACGCATTTCCGAGAGCAGCAGTGGTGGGAGAGGCCGGGGGAGCCCCGAGCTAGTGCCTGAAGCGGGCTCTGAGGACTGAAGTCAGAGAGGGTTCTCCCGGGATGCCATCACTCATTGGCCGTTGTCTTTGGGAAGTCTTGCTGAATGCCTCGGACCCTCAAATGGGGAGAGCACGGTGCCCACGGGGGTGGTGGCGTTCGTCAGCGCTCAGCCAGGTGGGCTGCTCCCCTCCTCCTTCTCCGTCCCCCCCCCCCCCATTTCTCCTGTTCTGCCTCCCCTTCTCCCTGCTTCCTCCCGTCCTCCCATCCCAGGCCCCTGGGAGTCCCTGCCTCCAGCCTTCCCCCAGCAGGCAGGTCAGGGTGCCTGGGCCCTTGCTGCACCCAGTCCCTCCCTCTCCCCTCACTGCCTTCACTTCCAGATTCCCATGCGTGTTTCCGATCTCCTCCAAAAAAGGGCCTCCTCCAGGAAGCCTGCTCTGGTTTGTGGGCAGAGCGTGCTGGCTCCTCCCTTTCAGCCCCGCCCCATGAAGGCCGCCCCTTCTCTCAGAGCCGGGACTGTTCCTTCCTCGCTTTGGGCCGTGGGTGTGCCGGTCACCGCTCTCCCTCCCCCGGCGGCCTGTGAGCCCCACTCAGGCCCAAGGTCTCGGATCTCGGGAGCCCAGTGCCCGGGCTTCATCCCGAGCAAGAGTTCTGGGCACACTCAGTGAGTCACGCCCGGGCAGCGGCCGAGGTGAGAGAGCGGAGTCGCTGACCCGGACACATGTCCACACGCGGTGCTAAGCGGGGGGGACACGGGGCGAGCCGTGCGGTGGGTGACCCTTGTTAAAACCACGTCCACTCTTTCCTCCCGGTCCTGCAGCTAGAGACGGATGGGCCCATGATGTCACCGAAGAGGAGATATGGAGAGTCTTAACCTGCGTTTGTATAGTTTCTTGTATTGTTTGAAAAACATTTCTTTACAATGTTACGTTCATGAGCCCATAAATCAAAGCTGCTGTTCCCAATTTTGACAAAAATGAAAGCCTTGCAGGAGAGGGTTCCACCTCTGATTCTCCCAGCTGGGTCTCCGCCCGTCCCCTCCCGCCCCAGTCTCCCTGTCTTGTCCCCGCAGGTGGGCTTTCTGAGACAAGGGGGCTTCTGGACACACGTCCCTTCCCAGAGCCAGAGGAGAGACGGCAGGTGCCCGGGAGGACGCGGCTCAGTTGCCAGGTGATGGTGGTCGCCGTGGCAACGCTGCCTCCTTGGAGGGAGCAGAAGCCTGGGGGGGGGGGGCCCACCTGCAGGTGGAGAGTGGGGAGTAGGGGGGGCTCTGCCCTGACACCCGGCTGTCCATCTCCCGGGCTTTTCTTTGCCTCTTGCTCGTCCTGTGCTCTTCCTCTCCAGACGGGGGCTGTGGGAGGGGGCGGGGCCACCCCGGCTCAGGGGCGGGGCCGTGGCGTCAGCCCTGCTCCTGCCTCCACTGACTCCCTGGTGCTCCTGCCCTTGAGCTCAGAGTTCTCACCTGCCCAAGGCGCCGGTGACGGCTGCTCGTCCTTCCCCATTCACACGAGTGTGTCCCGGGTGGGGTGTCCCCGGACGGCCTGGCAGGGCAGTAGGGCATGTGCTCAGACTGTCAGGGCGAATTTCAAGGGCGCCAGTGGAACCGCGGAGGGCCAGGAGGTGGGAGAGCCGTGTGGGGGGCTGGTTCCGCCACTCAGAAGCTGGGTGGCCTGAGCGGGTCTCTTGGCGTCTCTGGGCCTCCGTTTCCTTGCGTGACAGAGTGCAAGCCCTCTTTGCCTGCCCTGTGACCACAGGGGGAGCAGTGGGGACACCGCCTTCCTCCCAGCCCTGGAGAGAACTGGGGGGCAGGGCCTTCGCTCCAGCCCCTGGGGAGCATGGGGTCACTGCCTTCACCCCAGGGACTGAGGATAGGCCCAGCTGTGTCCGCCCAGCCCCATGCAGCGGCTGCCTCCCCCTCCCCCGGCTCCGTTTCCTAGGTGTCTGATTATACCACTTTCCATGGTCCCCGTCTAGGCCAGCATGTCCCCTGGGCTGCGACTCCCCCGGCTGGACTGCATCCCAGGACCAGGTGTTTTGGCTGCGTCCAGACAGCCCCCCCCCCCCCACCCCGGTCCCCTCCTGTTTGGCCATTCCTGTTGTGCTGTGTGACCTGGGATCAGACCCTTGGCCTCTCTGCGCCTGGGTGATCCTGCTCTCAAATGGAGGCCGTCAGAACACAGCCCTGGAGGACGAGCGGTCAGGATAGGGGGTGCCAGGCCCAGCCAGCGCCGGGCACACGGGTGACAAACCCCGCGGCTCAGCTTGGGACCGAGCTCACCCTCACGGACCCGCTTCCCTATCTGTGGCCCTAGGGAAAATCAGCCGCGCAGTCACAAGGCCACGGGAATGGCTGGCTGAGCTGACGCAGGGCGACCCCTCCGGGGAGCAGGTGTTGTCTCCGGGGGGCTCTATGCCCCAGCCGCCGGGCCCCCCCGCCCCATTCCTCAGCTCATATTCTGCTCCTGCTCGGCCTGTGTCCCCCGACGTGTCGGCTTCTGCCGGGTCTGCGGGGGTCCAGCCGCCCCCTCCCCCGGCCCCCGCGCGGGTGGCCAATCCCCGGAGGGGCCGCGGGGACCCAGCGCCCACCAGCGCAGGGGGATGTGTGAAGGTGCCAGGCTTCCCTCAGCCCTTATCGGTTGCCATGGAAACCTCCTAGCAACCACGCAAACGGGCGGAGGGCGCGTGGGCAGCAGCAGGCACGGTGTGCTGTCACGGGAGCCGTCCGGGGTCACCGGGCGCGGCCCCGGGTCAGGCCGGGGACAGGGAGCCGAGTCCCGCCTGCTACCCGCCGTTCGTTCGGCGTTTATCGACGTCGTCAGGCTCGTGAATGACGAGCGTCTGGAGAAGCGGGTTCCCTCGAGCGCCGCGCCCCGTCCTGCCCTCTACCCCGCCCTCGCCCCTGCCCCGCTGCGCCCCACTCGGGACGCCCAGCTGCACGCAGACCGACCCCACACGCTCACCCTAGAGACTGACACACAGACGACCTCACGGGCCCCTCTGCTTAGAAGGCCGCTGGATTCCAACGTTTAGCCAGCCTCGTGGGCACGCCGCCTTGAAGGGGCACCAGCCCGTGAGGCCTGCGGAGCCCCCCCGCCCCTTGGAAACCATCCGGAGAGTGGCCCTCCTCGGCCCCCCTCCCCCTCCATCCTTCCCCCTCTCCCACACGGAGCCCCCTCCTCTCTGGTGCCGCGGCCCCTCTTCAGCCCCAGGTAATCGGAACCCCAAACCCACTTGTGCCCCACACCCGTGTGCGGGACACGCATCCCGGGCTGCGTCTCCTCCCCCTGGACACGACGGAGTAGGCAGGGAAGGGTCCCGGGGCAGCTGGACCACCGGCCCGAGTTTAGCCACGGGAGGACGCAGACGCAGGGTCCCCAGGACGGGTAGGAGGCGTTCGCCACCATGCCTAAGGCGGGAGCTCCTTCTGGGCCTCCCTGGGGCTGCGTGCGCACCCGCGATGGCACCTCGTGTCTGTTGCACCCGCAAGCCTGGGGCGAGGGCGTGTGTGTGCGTGCACGGTGTCTGTGTGCATCTGGGGCGGGGGCGTGTGTGAAAGCGGGGCTGTGTCGGCGTCTCAGCATGGTGTGTGCGTGGTACGCGTGTGCGTGTGTTTGCGGCGTGTGCACGCGTGGTGTGTGTGTGTGTGTGTGTGTGTGTGTGTGTGTGTGTGTGTATGCGCGCGCGCGCGCCTACTTGTAGAGCAGGGAGGCAGGGCCGGAAGTGGGAGGGGCGTGCAGAGGTCTGTGGGAGGGGCCTGTGGAACAGGAAGTGGCCGTGTGGACTGGGCTGGGGGCAAGGTTGCCTCCCCCTTCCCACATCTGAACCGTCGAGGTCCCCGTCCTGGGTTCTGTTTCCCAGGTGGGGGGACCGGGGGGAGGATTCCAGAACCAGAGGTCACAACCCTTCTCGCTCACTCTTTCCTCCTCCCCGTGTCCCGGCCCAGGAGGAAGGGTGGGGGCCCTGCCGGTGGGCGGGCTGGGGAATCGGGGCCCCGTGCGCTCTCGGGCTGTGGCCCCCCCCCCCCACCTCTGCACTCAGGGACAGTGCACCCCGCCTGACATCTGGCAGCCTTTCTCCACTTTCAGCCCACCTGGGCCGCCTCGTCTGCACTCCCTGCAGGGACCTCGATGCATCCTTCTGGAGGCCGCCGTGCCGGCCTGGGGTGGGGACTCGGGCGCAGTGTGCGCGGGGCCACTGGAGGATTCGACGTGACACCCCGGGGATGTGGTGTTGTCCCAGGGAGCAGGAGGCTGGGGGTCTGAAGGAGAGACACCCCCACCCCCCTTGCCCTCCAAGGCACAGGTGTGGAGAAGGCTGTGTGTCAGGGAGGCCACCAGCCAAGGACCAGGTCTCCGAGTCCCCTCCCGGCCTGGCCCGGGCGCCCCTCACGGCCCCGCCTGCGTTGTGTTCTCGCTGGTGGTCAAGGCCGTGCGGGATGGTGGCCCGCGTCCCCAGACACTTCCAGCGGCTTCCTGTGTGCCGTCTTCATTGTCTGTCCGAGCGTCTCGGGCGTGCCTAGAGACGCCCCATGGGGTCTTTACCCTGGGACATTAGAGGGGTGGCCTTGACAAAGGAACGTGACACGGAGTGGTACTTTGGGCAGTGGGACACCAGAGCCTCTGCTGTCTCCGCCGCAGTTAGGTAATTCCACGGCTCGTGTCCGCATCACGCTGTTTAATGTCGCCACTGCTGTGTCCCAGGATTGCGTGTGTTCCTATTATCGCCGCCGCGATTACCCATGTCATAGCTGTGGTTGTTGAAATTATTGTCGTTTGTATAGTCACTGTCACTGTTGCATTTGTTAGCGTTGCTTTAATTATTAACCCTCTTTGGCACGACTCCCGCTACATGCCAGCTCTCCCAGCAGCAGCGGGGCTCAGGCCGGTGCTCTTGCCCCCAGGAGACGCTTGACGATGCCTGGGACGTTTCTGGGTGTCACGGTTGGGTGGGGGGACGGCTCCAGGCATTCCCACGTAGAGGCCAGCGATGCTGTGGTCATCCTACGACGCACAGGACCGCCCGCAGCGGACATCATCTCGCGCAAGGTGTCAACAGGGCGCTGTCCGAGAGCAGCTTGAAGCGCCCTGGGAAGGTTGGAGCCGGGTCTCCAGAACCTTCTTCGGAAAGTGAGTATGGGGTAGTCACCGTTGAAGCCTTGGCTGCAGACCAAACGTCTGGGTTGGTGCTCGGCTTTGCCATTTTTCCTGCTAGGCTGGGATGGCCAAATCCCCGTGTCACTTTGACTGGGCGAAGGGAGGCCCAGATGGCTGGTAAAACATTCTTTCCGGGTGCTTCTGTGAGGGCGGAGAGCAGCATTGGCTAGGTGCACCGAGTAAAGAAGAGTGCCCTCCCCGGAACAGGTGGGCGTCATCCAGCCCCTCAAGGGCCCAAATAGAATAAAAAAGCAGAGGAAGGATAAATTCTCTCTCCCTCTCTCTGCCTGAGCCGGGACATCCATTTTCTCTGCCCTTGGACATTCGTGTTCCTGGGTCTCGGGCTTTTGGGCTTGGCCTGGGACTGCACGATACTGGCTTTCTTGGGTCCCCCGTCACGGATCGTGGGACTTCTCCGCCTTCATCGTCAGACGGGCCAATTCGTCCTCATGTATCACGTGAGCCATGTACGCGATGTGTGTATAACCTCCTACTGGAAAACCTTGGCCAACACGGTTGTCTCCGCTGACAAAACGCTGAGTGGGGGGCTTGCACAGCAGACATGTATTCTGGAGGCTCAAGGCCAAGGTTGGGGGGCCGCCTGGTGGGGTTCTGGTGAGCATTGCCTCCCGGGGCTGCGGACTGCCGCCTCGCACCGTGTGCCCCCCTTCTATTCTCCGAAGGGCACTCGTCCCAGCCTGGGGCCCCACCTTCGGGACCCCATCTAAACCTAATTACCTCCCAAAGGCCCCACCTCCAGACGCCATCACACGGGGCGTGATGTTTCCACATATGAACTTCGGGGGCACCCAGACATTCAGCCCGTAACACGTGTGATCTTTTTCGTTTTACTCTCACGTATTCGTTTCCAACGCACATCGGGTTGCCTTCAGTTTTTGGCTCCTTTGGAAAAAAAAGATGCCGTGAATATTCTTACGTACACCTGCTGGTGGGCATATGTTCTCATTATTTAGGGGAATAGATTTAGCAGGGGAATGAATCGCTGGGTCGTAGAGCAGGAGTACATTTCGCTTCCCCAACTTTTTGTAAGGTAGTCATTTGGTATGTTGAAACAAGTTTTTTCAAAAACAGACGTTACTTTTGGGGCGCCTGGGTGGCTCAGTCGGTGGAGCGTCCGACTTCGGCTCAGGTCACGATCCCGCGGTCCGTGAGTTCGAGCCCCGCGTCGGGCTCTGTGCGGACAGCTCGGAGCCTGGAGCCCGCTGCGGATCCTGTGTCTCCCTCTCTCTCTGCCCCTCCCCTGCTCACTCTCTGTCTCTGTCTCTCTCTCAAGAATAAATAGACATTTAAAAAATAGACTACTTTTTAGAGCAGTTTCAGCCTTACGGTAAAGTGACAGATAGTGAGGAGAGTTCCCTTACACCTGGTACCTGTCTCCCCTGCCGTTGGCGTCTTAAATCTGTGTGCTACCTTTGTGACAATAAATGCACCACTTTGGTAACGATTCTGATTTGCAAAGTCGTCTCTTTACTCCAGTGTCCGTAGATTTCCCTGATGCCTCTTTCCTGTCCCAGGGCCCCAACTAGGGTAGGACGGCATATGTACCTGTCACACCTCCTTAGGCTTTTTTGGGCTGCGACAGCCTTTTTTTTTTTTTTTTTTTTTAATTGGGCCACCTATTTATTCATTTAAAAATTTTTTGAGGTTATTCATTTATTTTGAGAGAAAGAGAGCGCGAAGGGGGAGGGGCAGAGAGAGAAGGGACAGAGAATCTCAAGCTCCACGCCCTCCGAGCTAAGCCCGATGCGGGGCTCGAACTCACGAACCGTAGAGATCACGACCTGAGCTGAAGCCCAGTGTCGGACGCTTAACCGACTGGGTCCCCCAGGCGTCCCTTTTTATTTATTTTTTAATGCTAGGACCCCACCCAGCATCCAGCATGGCCCAAGGAGGAGGGGGCTCAGTGCTGCTGGCCCAGTAAGAACCACAAGAAGCGTCAACACGAGGTCCATCGCTGCTTCTGGAACCCTCTCTTACCTCAGAGGCAACTGCAATCTCCTGAGGGAGGCACGTTACCTGCCCTACTTGACAGGTGGGGATACTGAGGCTCTAGGAAGGCCCTCGGGTGAGTGGGGACAGAGTGGCTTCCCTTCATTTCTCTCTCCCGCTTTCCCAGTGAGGCTCTCGGACACAGCGCTGGTGGACGGAGGTCCGTTCAGGAAGCAATTCAGGGCACAGGCCGGTGAGCACCCCACGGGGGCATCTCCGCCCGGCTCAAGGCAGCCTGGAGATCTGCTTTAAGTGGGAGCCTCCAGGGTGAGGGCCAGGTTATCTGTCAGGCAGTTGGGGGTCCCCCCCGGAAACCCCACCACGGACTCCCCTGCTGGCCTCTGGGGAGCCAGGACAGTTCGGCTTTTGGAAGCCGGTCGGGGGAGGGGATCGAGTCCCTCGGGTTGTCCCGTGAGTGGCCGGGCTTGGCTGATGC